TAGCCCTTTGGTCAGATGAGTCGATTGCAAAATGTCTTCCCATGTCTGGTAGGGCCTGTTCACTTCACTCTGATGGTAGTTTCTTTTGTTGTGCAGAAGCTCTTTAGTTTAATTAGATCCATTTGTCAATTTTAGCTTTTGTTGCCTTTGCTTTTGGTGTTTTAGGCATGAAGTCCTTGCCCATGCCTATGTCCTGAATGGTATTACCTAGGTTTTCTTTTAGGATTTTTATGGTTTTAGGTCTAACATTTAAGTCTTTAATTCATCTTGAATTAATTTTCATATAAGGAGTAAGGAAAGGATCCAGTTTCAGCTGAAAAGAAGAGGTAGGTGAAAGAGACAAATGTGTAGCCCTCCTGTTCTTCTTCTTCCTTTTGTTTTCTCAGAATATCATCACTCATATCAGGCATGTTTATAAAAATGAGAGATTATGTCCTTTTTGGCATATTTCATCTTCTTTAGGACACAAAGAGAAGCTTGCTTCAGTTTGCTGTCACATAAAATTAGAAGACATGAATGGCCAGATGGATGGAAAAATAGCAGCACACTACTAAAAGTCCTTGCCACAACGCTGTCTAGAATAGGATAAGCCAATGTTAGTATGATACTGATGAACTGATGCACAGTAGAGGAGTAGAAATGAAATTATAGCTTTTATAGGTCTTACATGGGCTTCTGTGCTGGGATCCCTGGAATAAACACCATGTAGCTTCATCTGTCTGGTGTGGCTCCATAAGGACAGGAGTAAGAGAAAAATGGAGGCCAGTGTTTCCACAAAAGGAAGGATGAACATCCTCTGAAGGAGAAACAGAGAAGTGAAATCATGCATGGTCTCCATATAGTTAAATGTCAAGTTGCCTTTTATTATTACCCATTCTTGGATTAAACTATTTATTATTTCTTTCAAAATGAAAGTTGTGCAGAAAGAGATCATTGCCTCTAGTACAACAAAAAGAAGCACCTTGTGAATTCTCTATTTCATCCAGAGGAAGATGGGTTTGGAGAAGTTGGCTACCTTGAAGAAATGGAAGACACTAAGGTGGCTGGTACAGTACAGGCAGAAATAGTTGGATCCTGTCCAGAGAATGTCAAAACTTACTGCAAGATTCTTAGAATCAGGCATTTTCTCATAGCCTATATTGAAAGAGATAGCTAAAATTGTTTCCACAGGAAACATATCCTGGAGATGCCCAAGCAGTTGAGAATAAAATCAATCAGGGAGACCTTTCAGTTCCTGGTTCAATGATGTTTACCAATACAATGAATCCATTTCCCACAATCCCCATTATGAATTATACAACAGGAACTATTATAAACAATGCCTCCTGAATGCTTGACATGCCTGTACATAGTGAATGTCTGCCTTCAATACACCATTGACTGATTGATTCTAGCTGCACTCTTATAGATTTATGTATCCAAGGAGTGACTTCTTTCTGTTTTTTTGATGGCCATTGGTGGAGTCTGGAGAGATCCAAGGTGTGCTCTAAAATTAGATTTCAACTAAATTGTAAAATATACAAGATTTTTTTTTTCCCCTTGAAGGTATCAGCTAGTGATTTTCAAGGCAAATATTATATTCCCTGCTGCTATTGACTCTGGTTATATTTTACATGGAAAGTTCTGCATTCAAATTTGAACCGCGATTTGTTAACATGCAAAATTAAAGTAGATTCTCCTTTATAGTTCTATAATGCCATCCTTTGCTTAAAAATTATTCATTTGTGTGATGTATCCCTTTGATTCAGCTATCACCCTGGGCTAGAAAGTCTAAGCCCCCATCTAGAAAAATGCAGTATATCTTTAGAGTTTATGATCAGCATATTTCTTCATCGTCAACCTCACCAATACAGATTGATTAAAAAATATGCAAGTTTAAGAAAATGGAGAAAACAGCTCTCCGATATAATACCAAAATCTTTTAGAGAGTATGGAAGTTTTAGGCTGGGCGCAGTGGCTCATGCCTGAAATCCCAGCACTTTAAGAGGCCGAGGCAGGTGGATCACCTGAGGTCAGGAGTTCGAGACCAGCCTGGCCAACATGGTGAAACCTCGTCTCTACTAAAATACAGAAATTAGCTGGGCGTGGTGGCATACACCTGTAATCTCAGTTACTTGGGAGCCTAAGGCAGAAGAATCACGTGAACCCGGGAGGCAGAGGTTTCAGTGAGCCAAGATCACGCCATTGCACTCCAACCTGGGTGACGGAGTGAGATCTGTCTCAAAAAAAAAAAAAAAAAAAAAGGGAGTATGGAAGTTTTAAAACATATAATATATACTTTGGCACTTCTTCTATTGATATCTTAGGAGTCTGTGTACTCTCGCCTTCAATCTAGAATGGCTTGTGACTAATTCAGCTAATAAAAATGCTATAAGAATTCTGAAGCTAAATCATAAAAAACTATGCAGATTTTTCTTAATTACTGCAACATTTACTCTTGGAGTCCTAAGCCACATGTAAGTAGTCCAACTACTCTGAGGTCACAATGTCCAAACCACATGCAGTGGCCATGTGCAGGCCCTTTGGCTCATTGTCCCACATGAGCCCAGCTTGTAAGTCCTTTAACCCCAGGTACTAAACCTATGAGCCAAGAAAACTGTATTTGACCTTTCTAATATGGTAGTTACTTGCCACATGTCACACATGGCTTTTTAAATTCACATTAATAAAAATTAAATAAGATTAAAAGTACAGAGCCTCAGTATTACTAACCATTTTTCAAATGCTTACTAGCCACATGTGACTATTGACTATTTTATAGCCAACATACATAGGGGATATTTCTATCATTGCCTATCATTGACATTTCTATCTATTTATCAGCTCCACCTTAGATAAGTTCAGCCCCTAGTCACTTGAATTGCCCCCAATTGTTCATAACTTTCTGGCTAAAGGCTTAGACATTCTGGAACAAAAAGAAGTCATCCCTGCTATGCCTTGAACAAAACGCTAACCCTACAGAATCTTTAAGTGTATTAGTCTATTCTCGCATTGATATAAAGAAACACTCGAAACTGGGTAATTTATAAAGAAAAGAGGTTTAATTGGCTCATGGCTTCACAGGCTGTACAGGAAGCATAGCAGCAGCTGTTTCTGGGGAGGCCTCAAGAAGTGTATAATGATGGCAGAAGGCAATGGGGAATCAGATACATCTTCACATGGTTGAAGCAGGAAGAAGACAGAGAGTGGGGAGGTGCCATACACTTTCAAGCAACCAAATCTTGTGATAACTCATTCACTATTGCCACAACACCACCAAGGGGGATGGTGTTAAACCATTAGAAACTGCCCTCCATGATCCAGTCACCTCCCACGAGGCCCCACCTCCAACATTAGGGGTTGCAATTCAATATGAGATTTGAAGGAGAATAGAAATTCAAGCCATATCAACAGGCACAATAAAATGACTATTATTTTACACCATGAAGTTTCTGGATGGCTTTACTATGCAGCAATAGAGCATCAGAATAGAATTATTTAGCATATGAATGGTATAAATATTTTGTTATTTCAAATTTCCATGTCTCTTTCTTTCTTCTATCCCAAATAAAGGTATCCATAGCATCTTTATTTTCCTCAGTGTAAGAGGAACTTGTATAAATTTTCTATAATTTTTTCATACGTTGAGCTGAACTTAATCTTAATTCTGATGAGGTCAAACCAGGAAAAGTAAATTAGTCACGTTCTTTGTGTAATGCAACTGCTGCATTTCCCTCCCAAAGTGCAAAATTTAGTGACATTCAAAAATAATGGAGATATAATATAGACCTAGAGGAGTCAAAGAAATGAATGAGTTGGACAGCCCACCAAAAGATACACTCTAGGTAATTTCACAAAAAAAGCTCCATGACTAAAAGAAAGGCCAATTGTGGTAGGCAAATATGAAAGGCAAACAAAACTGAAACTGAAATAAACAAAGGGAAATTCAGGAAAATATTATATGCTGAAAGAGGGCTATTTTATTTGTCTTATTGAATATCTTCTTTGTTCCAGTCCTCTAGGAGGTGGGATGCAGCATTAAACACAACTATTTTTAAATGCCTTTAATAAGTTGACATTCTGAAAAGATGAACTCTAAACAGATAATTAATAAAAATATATATCATACAGATATAAAATATAATGTATAAGAAGTTGCAAATATAAGTAGAGAGGGAAAATAGAAAGCGTGTCAGCAGAAGGGTTGAAATTTTAAATAAGGTGATTAGGGAAGGACTTATTGAGAAGGTGATGTCTGAACAAAGACCTAAAATAGGTAAAGAAATTATCCATGTTTGGTCTGGGTAAAGTATATTCCAGACACAGGGAACAGCATTATCAGTGTGCTAACATTGGATGTACCTCGTGTGTCTGAGAAAGAACAAGGAAAGCAGTGTGGTTGGTGCAGAGATGAGAGAGTGGGACCAGTAAGAATGAAGTCACAGAAGGAAGAGGCATGAGAGCAGCCATGTGGGCTTTGCCCAGCCAAGCCGTGGATGTGGGGATGTCCAGGCCGTGTAGCCCACTCTTCACACCACTGTGCCCAGAAGACAGCACATACAGTCAAAAGAGATTATATTAGAGCTTTAATATGTAACTCCTGCCCTACTGTCTTTCGTACTTGTGTGGTGCCTGTGGCTGATTTCTCCCTTTTGGAACGAGAATGTTTACCTGATGCCTGTACAACAACTGTATGTTGGAAGGAAATAAATTTTTTGTTTTGTTTTGTTTTGTTTTGTTTTTTATTTCACAGGCTCGTAGCTGGAAGGAACTTGACTTGAGTCTCAAATGAGACTTCGGACTTTGGACATTTGAATTGATGCTGCAACAAGTTAAGAATTGGGGGACTATTGTTGGGATGGAATGATTACATGTTTTTATGTGAGAAGGACATGAGTTTTCAGGGGACCAACGGCAAAATGCTATGGTTTGTACATGGTTTGTTTGTCCCCATCAGAACTCATATTGGGATTTGATCCCTGGTGTAGTGGTGTTGAGAGGTAGAGCTTAGTGAGAAGTGTTTGGGTCAAGGGTTTGATCCCTCATGAATGGCTTCATGCCATTTTCAATGTAGTGGGTGAGTTCTCACTCTTACAAGACTGAATTTGTTCTGGGGGAGTGAATTGTTTTTCATGAGGGTGAATTGTTATGAAGCCAGGATGCCCTTTTGATTTGTTCTGTCTTCACTTGTGCTGCTTCTGCTTTGACCTTCTCCACCATGGTTTGACCCAGCACAAAAGCCGTCAGCAGAAACTAAGCAGATGTTGATGCCATGCTTGTTGTACAGCCTGCAGAACCATGAGCTAAATAAACCTCTTTTATTTATAAATTACTCAGCTTCAGGTATTCCTTTATAGCAACACAAACAGACCAAGAAATTGGGGGATACTATTTATAAAATTATTTCAGTGAATTAAATTAGATAAAATGGACAAATTCCTTGAAACACATTACTGAATCAGGCCCACAAAGAAATAGAAAATCTTAGTGTCTATTTTTAAAAATTGAATTCTTAATTTAAAACTTTCACACAAAGCAAGGGATGACCCACATGTTGATTTTCATCACATATTTAAGAAGAAAAAAATACCAACCTACACAAATTTTTCAGGAAACAGAGAAGGATGGGACATCCTTCTCAAAGTCTCATAAAGGTTAACTCTGTGAGCTTTATTTCAAGAAGGAAAGTGGGAATCTACCAGAATCATACAGACACACAGATTCCAGGGAGGGGAACACAGGCAAACAGCCCCCATGATGACACCCAGTTATAAAAGTGAGTAAAGCTCCAGTAGATGAGAGAGGCAGAGAGTCTCCCTCTATGACTCACCTTTCCACTGGGGATCTGAGCAACCCAGGCTGAGGAAGAGTACCTTGTTTCTCCAAAGCCCTGGAGCTAACTTGGAGAGAGGCTTAGAGACACTGTAAGGGAAAGACACTGGGAAAAGGTTCAGGCCTTTTCCCAGACCCAGGACTGAGAGCAGGATACCGTTTTTAATTCAAGTGCATACACAGTAAATCATTTTTCAGTGACTCAGCAGTGTAGCTGTGCAGGCATTTTAGTCTTGGGCCAGATATTGGAGCACCTGCTCTAGAGCAGGGTGGGGACCTCCATAGCCAAGAGTTGTAGGAAAAAAACCTTAACAGCAAACACTGAAGTTGTGCTCTCCTCCATCAGAGGCCTGGGCCAGTTTATCCTGTGTGATAAGACTTGCAACCAGGCAGCTTAGCTACCTAGAACTAGTCTGTGTGTGTCATTGCTGGGTGCCCCACCCTGCTCCCCTGTGATTGTGGTGCAACAGAGTCACCTCCACTCCACATCTAGGTAGAAATCCAGGCATTTAGATCAATCATTCACCTGGTTCAGCAGCTTAATCTGCTCCACCCTTCCTGTGCAGAGATCCTGGCACAGGGAGGCCCTCTCTGCTTCATGCCTAGGCAGATCTCAGGCTTGCTAGCATGGTTTAGTACCCTGAACCACCTAACCTTCCTTGACATAGGTTATGGTGCAGTGGGGCCGTCTCTGCTCCACATCCAGGCAGAACTCTAGACATATGAAGCACCCGTTCACTTAGATCAGCAGCCTACCCTTCCCTACCCTTCCTGTGCAGAGATTTTGGTGCAGGGAGGTCCTCTGCTGCATACCCAAGCATTCAAAGCACCTGCTCACACAGACTGGCAACCTGTGCTGCCTCACCCTTCCTGTGCAGAGATCCAAGTACAGGACTGACCCTCTCTGTTTTATGCCCAGGCAAAAATACAAGCATTCAGAGCACCTGCCTGTCTGGTTAAGCAGCCTGAGTCACCCCATCTACCCTGTGCAGAAATCTTGGTTGGTGGGGGTGGGTTCTGCTTCACAAACAGGCAGATGTCTAGGCATTCAGAACCCCCCACTCTCCTGGATAAAGAGTTTAGGCCAACCTCTCCAATATCGCTGTGCAAAGAACTTGGGGTCAAGGGGGTTACCTAGCTCCACCCCTAGACACAACTCTGGTCACTTGGTAGCCACTCAGTAGATTCTCCCTCAGTGTTGGTGCTTGTGTCTGCCATTGGGAGACCTATAGGTGGACCTGCCTTGTCTGGCTCCACCCACCTTGCTCCCCACAACCCCCAAGGCTGAGCAGGGAGTTCACACTACTGTGTACTCCATGAGTCAGCCCATTATCTGCAGCAACAGAGAGCTTCTTCCAGTAAACAAGGATCAAGTATATAACCACCATGTTGTCCACAACTGGCTCTTGCCTATAATTGCCATCTACTGGCTTGTAGGTTGAACTGCACAGTCTAAAACCTGCAACCAATAAATGCATAGGGTTATAGAAGCTGGGCAAAAGACCCAACCCAGAATTCTCTGAAGTCATACCGCCTAAGGAGAGAGGGGGAATGGAAAGGGAAAGAAAAAAAAGAACAATAATATTATAGGGAAAGAAAGAAAAAAATCCTACCTTATGAAAATAATTACAAAAATTAGAAATGCCAGTATTGCCAGAGGAGGAGAAAACAGAACGAGAATTCTACGACCATAAAAAAAGTGAATGTACTGAAACCAACACCATCAAACCAACACATCATCGTCCTGTGTGATGAGACTTGCAACCAGGCAGCTTAGCTACTTGGAACTAGTCTGTGTGTGTCATTGCTGGGTGTCCCACCCTCCTCCCCTGTGATTGTGGTGCAACAGAGTCACCTCCAATCTACCTCTAGGCAGAAATCTGGGCATTTGGATCACTCATTCACCTGGTTCAGCAGCTTAATCTGCTTCACCCTTCCTGTGCAGAGATCCTGGCACAGGGAGGCCCTCTCTGCTTCATGCCTAGGCAGATCTCAGGCTTGCTAGCATGGTTTAGTACCCTGAACCACCTAACCTTCCTTGACATAGGTCATGGTGCCGTGGGGCACCTACCAAACTCATAAACTGCTGGCATTCCTGAGAAAGAAGGAGAAAGAGTTAATAACCTGGAAAACATATTTGAGGAAATGATTTAAGCAAATTTCCCTAATCTTGCTAGAGAGGTAGACATACAGATACAAGAAATCAAGAGGACACCTGACAGATGCTATAGGAAATGAACATCACCAAAGCATATAGTTGCCAAACTATCCAAGGTCTACACTAAAGAGAAAAATCTTAAATTCAGCTGCAGAAAAAGATCAGATCATATACAAAGGGAACCCCATAAGCCCAAGTAAACAGCTCAGCAGAAACCTTACAAGCCAGGAGAGATTGGAGGCCTACTTTCAGCATTCTTAAAGGAAAGAAAATTTTCCAACCACTAATTTTATATTCCATCAAACTAACCTTTATAACTTAAGGAGAAATAAAATATTTTATAGACAAGCAAGGGGTAAAGGAATTTATTACCATTGGACCAGTCTTACAAGAGATCCTAAAGGGAGTTCTAAACATGAAAATCTGCTACCAAAATAGCACAGCTAAGCACATAGCCCAAGACTCTATAAAGAAATCACATAATAGAAACTACAAAGCACCCAGCTAACAACTTCACAATAGAAACAAAACCTCACATAGCAATATTAGCCTTGAATGTAAATGGTCTAAATACCCTCACTTAAAAGCAAATTGAATAAAAAACAAAAGCCATCTGTCTGCTGTCTTCAGGAGACCCATCTCACATGTAATGTCACCGTTAGGCTCAAAGGAAAGGGTTGTAGAAGGATCTGTAACACAAACAGAAAAGAAAAAAAAGAAAGAAAGAATCACTATTCCTGTATAGGACAAAACAGATTTTAAACCAACAACAGTAAAAAAAAAAAAAAAAAAAAGACAAAGAAAGGCACTACATAATAATAAAGGGTTCAATTCAACAAGAAGATTTAACTGCTCCAAATATGTATGCACTCAGCATTGGAGCATCCAGCTTCATAAAACAAGTACTTCCAGACCTATAAAAAGACACCAACTCAATAATATTGGGGGACTTCAACATCTCACTGAGAACATTAGACAGATCACTGAGGCAGAAAACTATCAAGGAAATTCTGAACTCTTGAAAAAACTCTCAAACAACTAGGCATTGAAAGAACATACCTCAAAGTAGTAAGAGTCATCTATGACAAAACTACAGCTAACATTATACTGAACATGCAAAAATTGAAAGCATTCCCCTTGAGAACCAGAACAAGAAAAGAGTCCCCACTCCCACCACTCCTATTCAGCATAGTACTGAAAGTCCTAGCCAGGACATCAGGCAAGAACAAAGAAAAGGCATCAAAATTGAAAAACAAATGTGGTCAAACTATATCTCCTTGCTGATGTGATTCCATACATAGAAAACATTAAAGACTTTGCCAAAAGTCTCCTGGCACAGATAAAGGACTTCTGTAAAGTTTCAGGATACAAATCAATGCACAAAAATCAGTAGAATTTCTATACACTAAAAAACTTCAAGCTGAGAGCCAAATCAAGAATGCAATCCCATTTACAATATCATCAAAAATTAAAATAAAAAATAAAACTGGGACTACAGCTAACCAAGGAGGTGAAAGAGAACTGCAAAACACTGCTGAAAGAAATCATAGATGACACAAACAAATGGAAAAGTATTCCATGCTCATGGATAGGAAGAATCAATATTGTTGAAATGGTTATACTTTCCAAAGCAATTTACAGATTCAACTCTATTCCTATCAAGCTACCAATGCCATTTTGCACAGAACTAGAAAAATAAACTATTTTAAAATTCATATAGAATCGAAAAAAGAGCCCAAATAACAAAAGCAATCCTAAGCAAAAAGAACAAAGCCAAAGGAATCACATTACCTGACTTTGAACTATACTATAAAGCTACAGTAAACAAAACAGCATGGTCATGTTATAAAAAGAGACACATAAACCAATGGAACAGAATAGAGAACCCAGAAATAAAGGCACACAACTGCAGCCATCTGATGTTTGACAAAATTGACAAAAATAAACGATGGGGAAAGGACTTCCTATTCAGTAAATGGTGCTGGGGTATCTGACTAGCCATATGCAAAGAATTAAACTGAACCTTTACTTTTCACCATACAAAAAAATTAACTCAGGATGGGTCAAAAATTTAAATGTAAGACTTTACACTACAATAATCCTGGAAGAAAACTTAGGAAACACCATTCTAAACATTGGCCTTGGGAAAGAATTTATGACTAAGTCCCAAAAAGCAATGGCAACAAAAAACAAAAATTGACAAGTGGGACCTAATTAAACTAAAGAACTTCTGCACATATCATAAGAAACTATCAACAGAGTAAACAGGCAACCTATAGAATATAAGATTTGCAAACTATGCATTCAACAAAGGTCTAATATCCCAAATCTATAAAGAACTGAAACAATTGAATAAGCAGAAAACAAATAACCCCTTTAAAAATGAGCACAACATGTGAACAGGCACTTCTCAAAACAAGACATACAAAGCAGCCAACAAAAGTTTTAAAATGCTCAACATCACTAATCATTGGAGACATGCAAATCAAAACCACAAAGAGGTACCATCTCACACCAGTCAGAATGGCTACTATCAAAAAGTTAAAAAAAACAAAAACAAACAAACAAAAAAACCAGATGCTAGTGAAGCTGTGGAGCAAACGGAACACTTATATCCTGTTGGTGGGCATGCAAATTACCTCAGCCACTATAGAAAGCAGTTTGGAGATTTCTCAAAGAACTTAAACTACCATTCAACCTAGTTATACCATTACTGGGTATGTGTTCACAAGAAAATAAATCATTCTACCAGAAAGACACATATACATTCACAATTTCATTAGAGCACTATTCACAATAGCAAAGGCATGGAATCAACCTACATGCCCATCAACAATGAATTACAGGCCAGGCACTGTGGCTCATGCCTGTAATCCCAGCACTTTGGAAGGTCAAAGTGGGCAGATCACCTGTGGTCAGCAGTTCAAGACCAGCCTGACCAACATGGCTAAATTCTATCTCTACTAAAAATACAAAAATTAGCCGGACATGCTGGCACCCGCCTGTAATCCCAGCTCTACTTGGGAAGCTGAGGCAGGAGAATTGCTTGAACCTGGGAGGCAGAGGCAGCAGTGAGCCAAGATCGTGCCACTCCAACCTGGGCAACAGAGTAAGACTCTGTCTCAAAAAAAAAAAAAAAAAAAAAAATGGATTAGACCAAAAAAGTGTGGTATACATACACCATAGTATACTATGTAGCCATAAAAAAATGAAATCATGTCCTTTGCAGCAACATGGATGCAGCTAAAGACCATTGTCCTAAGTGAATTCATGCAGAAACAGAAAACCAAATACTGCATGTTTTCACTTATAAATGGGAACTACACAATTTTAACTAACACTACTAAGTGATAGAACTGAGAATTGTACCTCTGACTCCAGACTCAGCCCTTAACTATTATAGTGCTTTTTATGGGAACCATATGAGTACCGAGGTGAAAATACTGACAGATATTGAAAGATGCTATTGGGTAAATAAACTACAAGAGAGTTCAGAGAAATTAAAGATAAAAATGATCATACTACTCCTCTCACCTAATTTTTAAGCAAACCCATTTAGGAGGTCCTTTCTAAAAAGAAAATAAAAGAGAGAAAGTGAGAATGCTCAAGTAGATAGTACTACTGAAACAGGTTATTAAAAATCTATGTGGTATCACCAAAGAACCTGTTCTGACAGTAGAGAAAATGAAATCAGGCTTTCTGTCATTATACTCAAGGATAACTGTGCCTTATTGCAAATATTTTTTCTAACTGATCCATAAAATACCTTTGAATTTTGAAAGCAAAAGAAGTAAAAATTAATTTTCTTATAGGAAAATAACTGATTATTGAACTTCATTAAAAGTTTTTAATGCCCTCTCTTTGAAAGACACTGTAAAGAAAATGAAATGACAAGCCTCTGGCTGGCAGAAAATATTTATAAAACTTAATGTCTGATAAAGACCTTATATTCAGACTGATATGGTTTGGCTGTGTCCCCACCCAAATCTCATCTTGAATTCTACCTCCCATAATTCCCATGTGTTATGGGAGGGACTCAGTTGGAGATAATTGAATCATGGGAGCAGTTTCCCCCATACTGTTCTCATGGTAGTGAATAAGTCTCATGAAACTTGATGTTTTTATAAGGGGTTTCTGCTTTCACTTGGTTCTCATTCTCTCTTGACTGCCACCATGTAAGACATGACTTTTGCCTCTGCCGTTATTGTGAGGCCTCTCCAGCAGTGTGGAACTGTGAGTCAATTAAACCTCTTTTTCTTTACAAATTACCCAGTCTTGAGTATGTCTTTATCAGCAGCATGAAAACGAACTAATACAGAGACTATATAGAGAACATTTACAACTCAGTAACAAAAACAGAAAGCAACGAATCAAGCTAAATAGTTGACAAAAGGTTTAAACAAACATTTCATAAAAAGAGGTTTTATGAATGACCCAAAGCACATGAAAAAATGTTCAGCCTCACTAGCCATTAGGAAAATGTGAATTAAAACTATGATGAGATGTCATTACATTCTGACTAGAATGGCCAAAAAATAAAAAATAAAACAGAGTACCTACCAACTGTTGGCCAGAATGTGAAATAACTGAAACTCTTGTATATTGCTGGCAATAATATGAAATTGTGCAGCCACTCCATAGAACTCTAGCATTTTTTTTAAGTTAAACATACACTTATCATATGATTTGACATTTTTACTTGTAGGTATTTACTCAAGAGTGAGAAAATTGTATATCCAGAAGAAGAGACACACATGAATGTTGATATAGTTTTATTTATAATGGCCAATGATTAAAAACCATTTGAATGTTCATTAACAGGAAAGATAAATTTTTTAATGTGGTATATCCAATACTATTCAGGAATACTGCTCAGGAACAAACTACTGATTAATACAACAAAATAGAAGAACTTCAAAAACATGCTGAGTTAAAGAAGCCTCACATATAATAGTGGACACTCGATAACTGTAAATGTGTATGTGTGCGTGTGTGTGTGTGTGTGTATATATATATATAGCATCTATATATCTATAGCCATATAAATTCTAAAAATCAAAGAACTTTCTTATTGTTACCAAGAACAGATAAGTAGTTGCTTGGGAAAAAGGGCTGGTGAGGAGAGGGTAAACTGCAAAGGGCACTGACATTGTGGTCACACAGGTGTACACTATTGTCAAAACTCTAACCAAAATGTGGACTAACATGTTGCATTTTATTATATGTAAATTATGTCTCAATAATATTTATTTTAAAAGGCATGATGTAAAATATGTATGTACACATACATACAATATAATTCCTAACAAACACTTATCTTTTTATGTGGCAGTTACTCATATTAAACTTTTTGTAACCCATCAGCATAGTAATAGTGGCAAGTCCAAACTTCCCTTAATTCTATTCCAAATAACTGTTCTAGTTATCTGTAATTCACCATTTAAATAGGAGTACATGATATAATAAAATAATTACCTAAATCACCCATCCCAATGAGTGATTTAGAATTGAAGAGCCATTGCCAGACAAAAGACTATAGATTTACAATTAACATCTAAGTATGCTGTAGTATATGTTTTTAATTTACAGTAGAATCTACCAATGATTTCCTCAAATAAGTTTCAAATTCCTAATAATGTAGAAATATATGTCATAAATACATAATATTCTTAGGTAAGATGCTATTATAGAGAAGAATTTTTAAAAATTGTAGTGACCACCTTCACAATAGAAGAAACTAGGGAAAGTATAAAATATTTTTAAACTCCTCATAGACTCCTGTTTCTGTCTACAATATTCAATAATCTGTGGTCTGAATGGCTTATGAAATTGTGAGTTTCTCAACGTTTAGCCCATACCTTAGCTGCCACCAAAAGAGAGGCCTGTCTTAACTTAGGGTTTCCTAGAATCAGAAGAAAGGAGTGGCTTGAAGGATAGAAGACTCCAATCGTCTGACAAAACATGTGGATCAGTGTATTCTGATACAGCTCAGAAATCCATGATATGAGAATACATACAAAGAAACTGGCATAGAGTAAAAGGAATGAGATCACAATTTTCAACGCATTTATGTGGGCCTTGGTCCTGGGTTCTCTGTGTCCTTTGTAATTGAGCTGCATTTTCTGGAGATGTTTCCGCAAGGAGAAAATTAACAGGAGAAAAGAGATGAGGGCCACAGTAAATGGTGCTAGACTGAACATAGTCATGGTGAATTTGACCGGCACTGAAAATGTTGGAAGGCCACTCATACTGAAATTCCAAACTGTGTTTCCTTCACATCGGTCCAGCCAGTCTTTAATATGTATGTTTATTTGTATCAGATTTAAAAATAAGAAGACCAAGGTTCCCAGCAGTATCATCAGAATCACTTGGTTTACTCTCCACTTCAAATAGAGAAAAGCAGGGCTAGAGAAACTTGCTATTTTGAGCAAATAAAAGATGCTGAGGATTGTAGCAAGCCAGAGACTGAAGTGATTAGAAACTACCCAGCTAAAAATCATAATTCTTAACCCTGTTCCAGACACAAATATGGCTAGATAATGCAGACCTAAAAACCAACTTACTAATAGTTCCCAGATCAGCCCAATTCTGGAGATTGCCAAGAATGTGAGGATTTTATCAACTGAGGACAGCTGTCTTTTACTGACCCAGTCAATGCAGTTTATCAGTACTATAAATCCATTGCTCAAATTCCCAATTACGAATTCTGCAATTATTACAAGAGTGAGGATACTCAGCAGGGCACTTTCCATGTCAGAACAGAGAAAGTTCAAAGTCTAATATCGCTGCTGGTTATTCACTGATCTAAAATGCTATTCATATCCTTGAGTGGACAGTGGAGTTCTTCTTCCTTCTCCTTTTTCTGCTCCTTCTTTCATTGTTAGCTCAATGTCAAGTGGAAATTTCTAAAGTTTGCTGATTGATCTTCACATAGCTGTACTGGTGACATCTTTTTTTCCTTCAATTTCTCTGCTGAGCCCCAGCTAAGAAATTTATGTCTTCACCATGGGCAGAAATATTTCATAGATGATTATGAAGCAAAGTTAAACTCACATTTGCATCCATGCAAATAAAGACGTATTTTCTTTCATTGTTTTGTACATTTTTGCCTCCTCTGAGTTGTGGAAAATTTGATTCAACCAGCTTGAGTTCTGAGACACAAATATTATTAAAATCTGATTCATAGAATATGTAGCTAAATGAAGCTTTTATGGCTAATAGCATAGCCAATGAAGATTTGTAAAATATGCAAAGACAGACCTATCTATTTCAAAAGAGTGCTCAATTCCTTGTGGAGCTAAAGCTGGATTTGGTCAGTACTGTGACTGAAGAGAAACTCGTTTACAAAGCATGCATCTTTCTCATTCCCTGCCTCATCACCACTTAACAGTGCTCACCACCATCCCTCCATAGCACCAAATGCCTTCACATTTTATCCACTTTTCCCCTCATACTTCTTTTTTGAACTTTAAAAGTGATAAAAAGTAAGTAAATTTTACAAATTCGGTAACAGCTACCAAAGAAAGCAGTACTGTATTACGTCATAACCTGCAAAACTGATAACCAAGCAAAGAAACAGAAACACTAGTTCCCCTTCTCCATGGGGCATATGTTCCAAGACCCCCAGTGGATGCCTAAAACAGCGGATAGTACCAAACTCTATATACAATATGTATTTTTCCTGTATTTATCTACCTATGATGGAGTTTAATTTATAAATCAAGCACAGTAAAAGATTACAAAAATAATAATAAAATAGAACAATTAAAACAATATACTATAATAAAAGTTGCCAGGGGTTATGGCTCATGCCTGTAATCCTCGCACTTTGGGAGGCTGAGGCAGGAGGACCGCTTGAGCCCAAAAGTTTGAGACCAGCCTGGGCAATATAAGGAGACCCTGTCTCTAAAATAAATAAAAATTTAAAAAATAAAAAGTAAAAAATTTGTTTAAAAATATTATGTATGTATGTAATGTATGTAAAAAATATATGTATGTCTGTAATATAAAATATGTAGTGTGGTGTCTCTCGCTCTCTCAAGATACCTTACTGTACTGTACACACCTATTTTTGGACCATGGCTGACTTTGGGTAACTGAAACTACAGATAAGGTGGGACTACTGTGTTCACTGTGAAGAGTCAAGATTCCTCACCCCATCCCACTCTTTCAAAACACACCAAAAAAAGTGAATTACCAAAATTCTGAAAACTTGGAGACTCAAGAAAGAGTATCTAATTCAAAATTAATGTAAATAAAAACTTGATTATCTTGATTATAAGATAGTAAATTCATCCAGCCATTTAGCTGGATGAATACAAAGCTATTTTTATTTAATAAACATATAATTTGTGAATTATAAATGTTTGTATTTTATTACTCACGCAATCTTTTTCGGGTGATCTACAGAGTACTAAAAAATTTACAAAATAATTGCATCATCTTTGGTGATTTGCAAGTTTCAATTATAACTTAAAATAGCTAGGTAGCTATTTTCCATTTTGTTGTTATAATGGTATATTTGTCAAGATAGAATAGAAAATATCTCCTTTAACAGTTTGCTAGCTTTGTATATTTATGACCTTTAAATATCTAGCTATGTGGCATGTGGTCTTTCATTTGCACTCTTGACCCAGGCCTGAAGAGATCTTTTATTCTTTTTCAATTTAGGGTGATCTTCCTCTCTATCTGGAGAAAAGCGTTTGGGGATGCCAGTCACAACCTGATAATACCCCAAATCGGCACAAATAGACCTGAGGGACGGTACCGTACTTGCTGGTATATGAAAAAAATACCACAGTTTTTTAGAACTTGTGACATAACCCATGACAAAGACAGAGAGAATGGATAGCAAGCTTGTGGTTCTGAGCTGCATTTTTCTGGTGCATTTCCATAAGAGAAAACATTTAAAACCATGAATTTAATCAAAGAGATGTAGTCTCTCACTTCTATAAGAGAAAGAGAATAGATGCTAGGGAACATCACAGAAAAACTTTTTCAGCAGTCTGAACCGAAAAGGAAAATGAGGCAGAGGGCAGGAAGAGGAAACAACGAAAGGTTTGAGTATGTAAAGTATTTTTTAAATCACTGATGGATGCAGTTTGCCAATGTTGTATTAGGATACTTGCATCTATGTTTATAAGGAATATTGACATTTAATTTTCATTTCTCATATTGTGCCTATGAGAATTTGGTATTAAGCTTTAGCTAACCTCCTATCATTTGATTAGAAATATTTCTTTTCTCTTTTTCATTTTTGCTAACTATTATTGTTACATATAACAAATATAGAACATTTAATGAAGTATAAATGCTATAGTATAAAGCGCACACTAATTTAAACACCTTCCATGTCAAGAAAGAGAACTTTGTATATCCCATAACACCTTATATTCTCCTTTCTAATCATAACCCCATCTTCATTCCAGAAGTAACAACTCTCTCAACTCAAATCACATTATTGTTTAACTTTGTATATTTTACATTTGAATATGTATCCCTAAGCACTAGCTTGGTTTTGCCTGGTTTTGGATTGCACATGAATGGAATAATACTGTACATAATCTTTTTGAATGTAACTATTTTTGATCAATATTACGTTTTTAAAATTAATTATGTTGCATATAGAGATAGATCATTTATTCAATTGCTGCATAGTATTAATTGAATGACAATTCAAACTTTATCTAGTCTAGTGGAAACACAAAGTTGGCTTATTTTGAGTTTGGAGACTATGATGATGATGATGCTACAAACACTCTTTAACATGTAACTTATAGAGTACATGAGCGTACATTTCTATGATCTTGATCTGGAACTATTCTGTTGCCTATTTCTTCTGGTCTTGTTTTGGCAGTTACAATTTTCTAGATATTTGTCAGTTTCAATTATTTATGTTTTTATGTAATTTTGATTATAATATCATCTTATTAAATTTTTAATACCAACAGAATATATCCTTTAAATTCTTCATATTATTTGCTTTTCTTTTCATGACTTATCTTACCAGAAGTTTGCTTATTTTATTAGTCTATTCAAATCTGTCTTGGTTGATCTTTTCAAATGTATTCTCTTTCATTAATTTCATCTCTTTTATTGTTATTTAATTAGTTTTACTTCCTTTGAGCATGTTTGCTGTTATTTTCCTGGAATATGTTTTCCTCTCAGAATTTTAAATCATTTCTCACAAGGTTTTACTATATTTTAATTATACTTAATGTTAAATATTTTCTAAATTTACTGTGATTTTTCTTCCACCGTAGACTATTTTTAAAATATATGTTCAAGTTTTCATTTACATAAAATTTTCTCTGCTAAAATTTATGTTTTGCATATCTGGTCAATTTTGATAAATGTTTTGTGTTTGTTGAAAATAATGTGTATCCTGAAGTTTTGGGGTGCAGTGTTTCATACATCCACTAAATCTATTTGTTAATCATAGTTTAAATCCTATTTACCTTTTCTGAGTTTTGTCTTCTTATTCTATTACTTCTTGAGATTTAATGTTAAACTATCCTGCTGTGAGTATAGGTTCATCTATTTCTTTTAGAAGTCCTGTCAACTTTTACTTTACATATTTTGATGCCACACTTATGAGTGCGTGGAGCATTAGAATTGTAGTATCTTCATGGCAAATATAACCTCTGCTCACATGAGGTGACATTATCTATTCTAATGTCTTTTTCCTTAAAATCGATTTAGCCTTATGCCTGTAATCCCAGCACTTTGGGAGGCAGAGGCTGGCGGATCATGTGGTCAGGAGATCAAGATCAGCCTGGCTAACACACGGTGAAACCCCATCTCTATTAGAAATACAAAAAATTAGCTGGGCATGGTGGCGGGCGCCTGTAGTCCCAGCTACTCGGGAGGCTGAGGCAGGAGAATGGCGTGAACCTGGGAGGTAGAGCTCACAGTCAGCCAAGATCGCACTAGTACACTCCAGCCTGGGCCACAGAAGGAGACTCCATCTCAAAAGCAACAACAACAACAAAACAACCAATTTAGTATATATTAAAATGATTATATCAGCTTATTTTTGTTAGTGTTTTATGGTAGACTTAGATATATATATAGTACATAGCATAGAGGTCGTAAAATGGGACCTAGGGCTGTACGCTAACATTTTATTCCTTGTGGGATAAGAAATGCATTCTTGCAGGAGTCCCCTCTTCCCCCTTGAAGTTATATATTATCATGTAAATTTTTGGTCAGTAAAATATTGTGGAAATGACATGTTGCTTCAGAGTGAGAGCATTTACTCACCAGTGTAAGACTGCAAATTTCTCATTGTCTTGCCTTGACACTCAAACAAGGGTCAATAAAGCATCTTTCAGCCTGGATTGTTTTGTGGCCACTATGAGCACAGGACATGTAACAGAAGTGAAAAACAAAAACAAACAACAAAAACTTCTCCTATGTGGAGTCCTTGAGATGTTGGGATCTTGTTAGTACAGAATAGACGAAGCAATCTTGGCTAGTATGAGACTGGCCTCTTGAAATGGGGTGCTGCTAAAACACAACACCTAACTTATGTGCCATTGGCTTAATACTTGATTCATTGGCAGTGAGTGGCAAGAAAAAACATTATTGTTTACTGTAAAACAAGTTAGGGAGTGGCAAAACATTTGATAGCTGTCACCTGTGGTTACATGGAAGGTAGATCACATATTTGAAAATTTTGCAACTCTAGAAAAAAATATAATTGAATATATTAATGGTGCATTTGACAATTTTTTAAAAATTGAATTCATAAAATAATTGCCCTACTGTCTAGCTAAATAGCAAACAGAGGGAGATGCTCTAAAAGAAAATGATATTTATTTGGGAGTAATATTGCAATGGGAATACATGTGCCATAGTAAATTGTGTGTGTATTCAGGGACATTAAAAAAGACAAGGATTTCTAAAAGAGGAAGATTACATAATTGTTTTGAGATAATTAACCTTGGATCCAAGGATCAAGAACAAGGGTGACACTTGTTTAAGATTACATAAGGAGCTTCTCAGCAGATGTCCGTGCAGAAGTATCTTTTTGTGTAGGGTTGTAGTGGCCTTTCTGCAATGTTGTTGTTTTGTAGAGTCTTTTCTGATAGCTCTTGCTATAAGCCGTATTTACATTAAGAACACTCCCTTCACGGCCTTCTCCAGCTGCATTTGTCAGAGTTTTAACACAAGTGACTTCATTTTGATTCTGACAATTTTACACTACTTTTCAAGCAGGAAAAAAAATTTCAGAAAGAAGAGTCTAGAAACTTGAGATTGTGCAGAGCTGGAAGAGGCAATTGCTTCTCAACACTGAATAGTATTTGAGTTTCTAAGCCTGGTTAAAACTCAGCCTTGGCTGGGTGCGGTGGCTCACACCTGTAATCCCAGCACTTTGGGAGCCCGAGACGGGTGGATCATGAGATCAGGAGATCGAGACCATCCTGGCTAACACGGTGAAACCCTATCTCTACTAAAAATACAAAAAATTAGCCAGGCATGGTGGCGGGCGCCTGTAGTCTCAGTTACTCAGGAGGTTGAGGCAGGAGAATGGTGTGAACCTGGGAGGCAGAGCTTGCAATGAGCCGAGATCACGCCACTGCACTCCAGCCTGGGGGACAGAGTGAGACCCCGTCTCAAAAAACAAAAAACAAACAAACAAACAGAAAACAAAAAAACTCAGTCTTTAGACTAGGATTATCTCAAGGGTATGGTTGTTACATCCACGTTAAAAATT